AAGTCATTTAAAAACCATTAAAACTTAAATTTCCATGAGTTTTCTTAACTTGCTTTAGTATTGTTGATTTTTTCGATGACCAAGTTTTTGAAAGGTTTAAAGTTTTACAGTTTTTTTTTTATTAATTTTAAAAATATGCTTATATTAGCAAGCAATGAACAATATTTTCTAAAAATTCCATTGCTGGGAGTTATAATAATCATAGAAAGCATCGGATTTTAGAAATGTAATAAAAATAGTAGTATTCGGATAATGATGCAAATTTACAGATTAGTCTTGAAGAAAACATCAGAATGATGAATGTAAACTATAAACATGTAAAATCCTTTACTGTTACACCACATTTTTTTAATTCATCATTAATATTATATTTCAGAGAAAGAAGAAGGACAATAAAAGTCCTTAAACGTGAACGATAGTCACATAATCGTTGAAATATATTCTTTTCGTATCGCGGGCACACTGTTTTCTAACGCTTCCTTTAAAATATAGTTAAAACAGATTTCCAACCGTACGCTTCCATCCAGAAGGCCAAACATCTTAAATATTCATAATGTGTCAGCTTAATCGCGCTATTTAACAAGCATCAAATTGTTCTTAAAAAATACTTGTAGCATTCCAATTAATATTATCATCCGAGAAATCCTTGTGTAGTTTTAGTAACGACAAAAATCATCACGATATGGCAAGCATTTAACTTGAGCAAAAGCTTTTTGTATCGCATTAATAAAAAAAAAAAAAAAAAAAAAAAAAATTGTATATTATGTAAAGCTTGCTTTTGTAATGATTTCATTTTTTCATGTGAACATTAAATTGTTAAAAATTGTGTCAAATAGCTTGTTGCGAAGAAAAATAACTTTTTAATATTAAAAAGGAAGTAACTACTTGTGATCCATTAAACCTTTACTCGATCTTTCTATACATTTAGATTCCTGTAAGTAGATCTTTAAGAAACCCACTATCGCGCAATTTCTCATCGATTTTACAGCACTTGCCATTAAAATCCTTACGAATTTGAATTTATAAATATCTTGGAAAAAAAAAATTAAACTACTTGTTATTTTTCTTAAATCAACTCTTCGATAAGACTTCAGTCATAGATTCTTGCAAATCATAGATTTTTTTTATTTATTTTTTTAATTTTTCTCCGTGTATTGTTTTATGAAAAAAAAAAAAAAAAATAATCAGGCTTATACAGACATAAGTAGGTGCACCTTGACGAGAACGGATAATAAACTAAGAAAGCAGTTTTTACCGTTAACTATTCGGATAAACAAATAATTAGAAATGAAAATAATGAGCATTTTTAATCTCTTAGTATCGTTGACAGTATGTAAAATAGGCTCAGGTTAGCCCGAACCGTCTGGAAAGCCGTTTTTTCGATTAACTAACAGAGAAGCAAACGTTATAAATAATCAAAATAATCGGATTAACGCTTATTTGATTAGTAATAAAAAAAATAGGTAAAATTCGTTTTCGATACAAAAAAGCATCTTAACATAATGTAAATCATTTTATTAGAGATTAATCGCTTGCGATATAATTAAATATATATGTATATGTATGTATAGTTAGCTTTTTGCTTATGTTAGATATTTTTTCATTATTTTTTCAAAGATTCTCTTCAATGCAACGTGGCTTAGTAACTTTAGAAAATTTATTTATTTTCATCCATTATCATTTTTCCATAGGGCGATCTACGTCGAAAATATTTCTAGGCGAATAATTGTCCAAAACTTGTGAATAGCAAATCACATTCAGTTTTTTTTCTCCGAATTGTTGACTCCAGTAATTGCTTCGCTACTGTAATAATTAAGAGCAGATTGACAAAAATACCCTGCACTACATTTAAATTTGACGTCTTCACTTGTAACATACTTATATGAAAAAATGCCTCTGGAAAAGAAATAATTCACGTAGATAGCCGTTTAGTATGTAATTTTTTTTCCGAGTTTAGCAGCATATTTCCATTTAAACATTAATTTGACATACACGTTCCCACAGAAACACAAAACATTTACACATTATTGGTAATAAATTAATGATAATCTAAATGTAACATGTATATGATGGTTGTACAAATGTAACATTTTTTTCCATTGTGTATGGATGACGATTATTAATAAAATTAATGAAAAAAAAAAAATTGAGATGCAAAACTATATGAAAATGTGTTATAGACGATCACATCTTGATTCTATAGCACTATTGGCAGGGTGCGCCATCAACTGAGCGTATCTATGAAGAGCGATTTATCAATAAACTACTTTTAATTATTATGAAATAAAAATTTCTGTAATAATATGATATAAAACCATACAATGAATGGCACGAATATTGTTTTATTTGACCTTGAAATTACTTGCCAATCTTTAGCTTAGGTGTATAATTTTTCTCACATTATAGTACCAGTGAAAATAAAAGAAAACTAATGGTCCACATGATTTTATTGATGTATGTACAAAGTATTAAAATTATTTATACAAATAATACGTAAATCAAAATTGATTACTGAAATTAAAATTTAAAAATTCATATGAACAAATGAAACTACGGATGCAATCGTGATTTTACCAATAATCATTAAGGTATCATCAAGTTTAACATTTATTCAATAAAATACAATTATTCCATCAGGCCCAAAGTAGTCATTGGTACAACTGACGATTAGCATTACGAAATGGTATGAAACATTTCTGCTCAACTATCAGACAAGACGATCGTAGATGAAAAAATATATTAATTTCTTATTCGCTATCCTCTTTAGATTTTTCTCGTTCCGAGCGTCGTGATTTCTTTTTGCGTTTACTGGGACTTCGAGATCGCGATTTGTGGCGCCGAGAACGCGATCTCGACCGATGCCGGTGTCTACTAAAATATTTAAAAAACTTTATTTGAATAGCTGTTCAAAATGTGTATAAAGTCATGATCATTTCTAATTAAGCACCAATTATCTCACCTTTCTTTGTGTCTGTACTGCGACCGCGACCTATCTCGATCGCGATCTTCTTCTCTCACAGAAGAATCAACGTCTCTGTCTTCTCTCCTAGATTCCTTCTCTCTGTCGGAATGACGCTCCCGATCCCTGTCTCTCTCACGTTCGCGCATCATTGCTTCCTCATAGTCCCTGTCGCGGTCTCTTCTTTCCCTATCCCTATCACTGTGACGATCCCTCATGTCTCTAGGCATCATTGGAGGCACTGATGGCGGCACCATTGACATATGTGTTTTGGATCCAGGATTCTTACGATCATCCCCTGTTAGGGGTATATTTACGTTGGTGGGTTGCCAGCCCTAAAAAACAATAAACATTAATCAAAGGTCAACAAAGTGTCATTCATTGAAGACACTAAAAAAAAGACTTACCGTATCAGTGTTCCATTGCCTATCTTGTGTTGGTTCGTAACTTTGGTAGTAGGGATCGAGTTCTGGTAGGAAATACGGTGGTGGTTCTTGATAGCCTGGCGGAGGCATGTCAAATGTGGCTGGTATTCTAGGAGCTGGAGGCGGTGGTACACTCATATCTGGAAAGCCGCCAGGTGGTTTACGAGAATATTCCCGCCTGTCGGCAGTCATCACTTGGATAACGTTCTCCTTAGGTGGTGACTTATCTAAATTCCTTCTGGAACCCAAGCCACTACTGCCTATAACATCAATTGTACCTGCCATCTTACGACCAGGTGGAGGTCCAGCCCGCTTAGGTCCACTGATACCCGAATATTTACTATTGTAATTTGTTATAGTGACTTGAGGCACTCTTGCCCCCGGATTTCCAGGCACAACTCCTGGTGGACCCGTGCCCGTATTTAATATTAATCCTACACCAGACTCACTTCTCATGCGCTTTTGCCTTTCACAATATGCTCTCCACGTATCCTCGTTAAAGCCGTAATTAAAGAAGTCGGTAATATCGGCACCCGGCTGTCGCCAAGGCTTGTCTTCAAGCTGATCCAAATTGAACTCGTGGGCAGGAATTCCATTGATACTGCCAATGGTTTCAAACTCATCTAGACTGAATTTTCCAGGCTGTTGCTTGTGCTTGTCGGATCCTGGTGCCGCGGTATTCAGTAGGCCACCTCTTTTAATGTTTAAACTACTATACTGCTGTTGAGCCGGAGTAGACTTTATGTCACCAATGTGCACTTCAACATCATCGTCAGACTCTGAATCGGTTTCTCTGTCTCCCTCGTCTTGTGTCTGTTCATTAGTACCGTTTTGTTTAGCGTCATTGGTCATCGAGTCCTCGTCCTGATTGTTCTGCTGCACTCGTTCGCTTTCATTGTTCCTATCGAAGTTATCTTCGGTAGTTGTGTCGCCGCCGTCCTCGAGAGACTAGAAAAACATGAAGGGAAAAATTAATTCACCCTAATTCAAATAAATAATACCTAATTCTAATCAGAGTTTTCAAACGTTAAAGTATTCTTTACTATATGCACAAAAAATTGTTGCAGTTAAAACGTTGTTGTGTACACTTGAGAGAGAGTAAGAGAAAGAGTTGGAGAGGTTAGGTTACCTCCCGTACTCCAGGTGTCTGGTTGTCCATGTCCTCGCGGGTGCTTTCATTGCGTTGGTACGATTTGTCCTGACTGCTGTATGAGACGTCATTCTCGGCCAGTGGCTGGCTGTCCGAGTTCTCGGGGAAGCCGTCCTTGGCGTCCTGGGAGTCCCCGTACAACCACTGATCCTCGTTCTCATCCGCCATTTTTCCGCAATAACGCGGCTCTCTGTGGACCACAACGAACTGTGTGCTGCTGCAGCCTGTGAATGCAGCGTGTACACTCTCCGCTTCTGCTATAGTTCTGCTCCGCGCCGGCATCCCTATTCTGTTATAATTCGACCCGGTTCGACAGTTGTCTACCGCAAACGTTTTATCAACTCTCCTGTGTCGGTATCTCATGCAATCGTCGGTACGGTGGGGACCGGTAATAAAAATTTTATCGGCCGTCGATCTGCATTGAAGGGTGAAATTTAGTGAATTTTTGGGAAGTGAGCGTAGGGTCTAGCAGATCGGCTCCAATAGACCTTCCGCTGCGGACATTATCTGGCACTATAGCCTCGCAAGTTTTTTTAGTGAATTTTTGGAAAGTGAGTGGAGGGTCTAATAAATCGGCTCCAAAAGACCCTCCGCTGCGGACACTACAGCATCGCAATTTTTTTTAGTGAATTTATGGGACGTAAGCGTAGGGTCTAATAAATCGGCTCCAATAGACCCTCCACTACGGGCACTTAGCTTAGTAAATTTTCCTAATGAATTTCTTTCAATAGAAACACATCTTATATATATAGCTCTATTCCGTATAATCTGGCCAGTAAAAATATAGCAGACGACGCAAAAGTCGAGAAATAAAGTCAGAAAGATTCCTTAATCCTTATACCTAGAATGTCGTTCAAAAATCGCAACGCTAGATGACGCCAGTGATGTTACATTGGCTGGCTGATCTGATCAGCTGCTATGGTTGACTAGCAGGCTTTGACCAACAATATACAGGCATTGTATATCTATGTTGGTATTTTGAACCAATCAATACAAATTAACTTACGAGCCACCTTGTGCTGTATCTATATACTTCGTTGCTCACGTTTTTTGTATTTATAAGTGTTTTCTCAAACCAAAGATAAGATGTCACAGTCGATGGGAACGTTGTGCGACGATCAGTTACTTTCAATGTTTCACGCCGTCAATAGATAGCACCTAATTGCTGCTCTAGTTGCTGACGTTAACAACTATTACCTCCTCCAATCGGTTTAGTATCAATATTCAATTTATTTTTCGGAATAAGTTCCTACTCGTTGGTGATTATTATTATTTGATTTTGGAATTAAAAACATGAGTTCACCTCGGGTACTTTCCATCCAAAGTCACGTTGTCTCTGGATATGTTGGTAATAAAAGTGCAACCTTCCCACTACAGGTAATTGACATCTTACATATTGTAAGTGTTGGAATTTTTTATTCCAACACCATTTTCTTTTACTGTTTAAATGTTTCATTTCTGTTCAATTAACTTTTAAGTAAGAGAGTCATCAAAACATGTTTCCAAGGTCTGATAATGACATCATAATTTCTTTACAGTTGTTAGGGTTTGAAGTTGACGTTATTAATTCAGTGCAGCTCTCAAACCACACTGGATACAAAGTTTTTAAAGGCCAGGTTTTAAATGATAATGATTTAAGTGAGTCACAAATATAGAAACTTTTGAACAAACATCAGTACTTCTTTCTTAGAGTTTAAAAAGATTTTAATTATGTTGTTATAGAACAGTTGGTAGATGGGCTAGTGCAAAATGATTTAGATTATTACACCCATTTGTTAACTGGATATATTGGCTCTGCTTCGTTTCTCAAACAAGTAGTTGAGGTTGTTAAAAAATTGAAAGAAAAAAATCCACAGTTAATTTATGGTAAGCCGCATCTTTTTTCGTACATTTAATGAATATAAGCTGTAATTAAAGAAAAATAATTTTAGTAGCCTATAATTTTTTTATTTTTAGTTTGTGATCCAGTTATGGGTGATGATGGGAGAATGTATGTCCCTGAGGAACTGAAAGAAATTTATCAAAAAGAAATAGTTCCTCTTGCAAATATTATAACTCCAAATAGTTTTGAATTAGAGTAAGTTCTTCGGTACGTAATTTATCAATCAAATATTACAATAATAAAAAAAAATTTTATACAGAATTTTAGTTGGGAACAAAGTTAATACGATTTCCGAATTAAGAAAAGCCATCAACGATTTGCATGAAATAGGTCCTCAAATCGTGGCAATATCATCAGCAGAAATAAATGGAAAACTGACATCATTCGTAAGCACGACTACAGGTAAGACAACTCTTTGAAGCCTGCAATTAAACTTATCTGAAGGAGGAAACTTGAACATTAATGATTTTTTCAAACAGATCACAAAATGATAAAACTTGAAATTTCGAAATTGCCTATTTCTTTTACTGGCTCTGGAGACCTCTTTGCTGCCTTATTTCTTGCTCATACTTATTTGCAAGATAATATCAAAATAGCACTTGAAAATACCATAAACTCCCTGGAGGATGTTCTTTCAAAAACTTATGAGCGTTTTCAAAGTAAAAAATCAGCAAAATATTACTTTAACAGTAATAATAATGAATGCTATCTTTATTTTTTTACATTTTAGCAATAAAGGATGATAACGCCCAGAGGGCCAAGAAAGTTGAACTTTGTTTGATACAAAGTAAAAAATGTATAGAAAACCCTTCCCAAAGATATCAAGCTACCGAATTGAATTAGACATACTGGACGAATTGAAGATAAATGAATGTATGATTTTTTATCGATGTTTTTTATTGTTGTTTTAAAAATGAATTTCGTGCCCTACATTTTATGGTGTACATACAACCGGTTTTATTGATGCAGCTCAATGAAGTTATTAGAAGAAAAGATGATTTAAAAAGTTTTAACAATTTGAAATGAATATAAGTAATATTACAATGTTAGTTGTTGTATTTTCTTGATATATCCTTTATATTGACAAAAACCGTTATGCCGACCAAAGCAACGTCTTCCAAGGGCTACTTAGTTCTAAACCATATACAAATATACCTGTATATTATATACACGTTTACATGTAATTTTTCTGTTATATTGCTGGCAATGTTATAAAATAAAAAAAAAAAAATACATATTATATTATGTC